GAACGATCAATCGAACGATGTTTATACAGTAAATTTATATCTCCGAAAGTCAGTAAGAAAATTAATCAACTTTAATTATTATTTATTTTTTTTATAACAAAGCTCTGTTTTATTTTCTCTTTTCTTTTCTTTGTAATCTAATCGGTGTCTATAGAGTTTTTTATTAGCTCACCTGAGCCGAAGGCTCAAGTGAGCTTTTCTGATCACATTTTGTCTGTAGTCCGTCTGTCTGTCTGTCTGTCCGTCTGTAAACTTTTCACATTTTCGACTTCTTCTCAAGGGGATAGGGATGGGCCACAATGGAGGATCAAAGTTTTACATAGAAATATATAGGAAAAATCTTTAAAAATCTTCTTCTCAATAACAGCAAAGCCATGATGAGTCATATTTATATGGAAGCATCCTCAGGTAGTGTAAATTCAAATTTGTCCAAATCATGACCCCCGGGGGTAGGGCGGGGCCACAATGGAGGATCAAAAATTTAAATAGAAATATATAGGAAAAACCTTTAAAAATCTTCTTCTCAATAACAGCAAAGCCCTAATTGGTCATATTTATATGGCAGCATCCTCAGGTAATGTAGATTCAAGTTTGTCCAAATCATGACCCCTGGGGGTAGGACGGGGTCACAATGGAGGATCAAAGTTTTACATAGAAATATATAGGAAAAATCTTTAAAAATCTTCTTCTCAATAACAGCAAAGTCCACAATGGAGGATCAAAGTTTTACATAGAAATATATAGGAAAAATCTTTAAATATCTTCTTCTCAGGAACAGCAAAGCCCTGATTGATCATATTTATGTGGAAGTATCCTCAGGTAGTGTAGATTCAAGTTTGTTCAAATCATGACCCACTGGGGTAGGGTGGGGCCACAATGGAGGATAAAAGTCTGAAATAGAAATATATAGGTAGATATGTTCTGATGAAGAACTGCAAAGCCATGATTAGTCATTTTGATATGGAAGCATCCTCAGGTAGTGTAGATTCTTCAAGTTTGTTAAAATGATGACCCCAGGGGATAGGGATGGGCCATAATGGGGGATCGAAAATTTTACATAGGAACATACAGGAAAATATCTTCTTCTCAAGAACTGAAAATCATGTTTAGTCATTTTGATATGGAAGCATCCTCAGGTAGTGTAAATTCAATTTTGTTCAAATGATGACCCCCCGAGGGTAGGGTGGGGCCCAATAAGGGGATCGAAAGTTTTACATAGGAACATATAGAAAAAAAAATCTTCTCAAGAACAGAAAAGCTATGTTTAGTCATATTGATATGGAAGCATCCCCAGGTAGTGTAGATTCAAGTTTGTTCAAATGATGACCTCTGGGATAGGGAGGAGCCACAATGGGGGATCAAATTTTTACAGAGGAATATATGGGAATTTTTTTAAAAAATCTTCTCAAGTACAACAAAGCCATTCGTTAAAACAAATTATATATTGACATGGAAGCATCATCAGGTAGTTGATAAATTCAAGGCGCCCCCCAAACCCCCCGTAATCTTTTCAATACTGAACTGATTTGTGCTTTTGCCTTGCCAATGCGCTCAGGTGAGCGATGTGGCCCATGGGCCTCTTGTTAGCTTTCCAGTATAAAAAAAATGAATTCTAGTAGACAAAAAAAAAAATGCGGTGATGTGGTTAATCAAACTTACGCATGTTAATTTTGTCAAAACCAGCTTGAGAGTGCAAATCACACATACTCAGTACCATTTTTACATAATACTTTCTGTCTCATAATACATTCATGAATTTTTTGTAATAATTGAAATGATTATCTGTCAATTTTATATTTTGATATTATTCATATAGAAAAAGCAATTCTCTCTCTCTCTCTCAATATTTATTTCCATAAGTTTTTATAACATTGATATTGACATCATAGTAGTATGACATTAATGAATGTATGAAATATATGGAGATAACGAACAGTATTCAAGCTCAAAAGTCCATTATACAATACAAAATAGGAGCAGAGCAAACACAGACCTCCAAACATCAGAGGTGGGATCAGGTGCCATGGAGGAATGAGCATCCCCTGCCGACCGGTCACACCCGCCGTGTGCTTCTTGTCATGATCGGGAAATAACGGAAAAATCCGTCGACAATTCAGTGTGTAAATAATGGCCTAACAATTAGTATGAAAAACATCAGTCAGCATTTGACTCAATGATAAATTGTATTTGCTGACAAGGTCATTGTATCGACCATAGAACTTACGAAATGATGACTTTAAAGGAGACAGCTGATATTCTTGTTTCATCAACTTATTTGTCAATAATTTACCTCGTTTTAGAAATTGTACATACGTAGAGCATGCTCTTGCGTATCGAATCAACTGAGAGATATATACCCTGTATGCAGGTGATGAAGGTATATTGCTGCATAAGTAAGGGAAGTTGACAATTGAAAAGTTAAAGTCATCACGTTTATCATAAAGCTTGGTTCTTAGATTACCATTAACGTCTTCTTCAAGTAAAATATCCAGATATGAAACAGATGTGTCAGACTCTGTGGTATCTTTTATCTCAAGTTCACCAGGATATATCGTATCGACATAAGAATGAAAATAGCCATTGTTAATTGACAATACGTCGTCGATATATCTAAATGTCGAGTTGAACGCCACAGCAAGTGTTTTCTTCTTTTCACGTACAAGATTTTGGACAAATTCTGCTTCATATGAATACAAAAAAAGGTCTGCTAATAACGGGGCGCAATTGGTACCCATAGGAATTCCAATAGATTGTTGGAAGACCTGGTCTCCAAAAACCACATAGATATTGTCAATCAGAAACTCAAGCATCTTTTTAATGTCAACTTCAGAGTACTTGTGTGTACAATCAGAATGTTTTTTAACAAAATAATTTTGCAAATGACCAATGACAAGGTAAGTATATTTACGAGTTCCATTTTTATTGAAAAAGCAGCTGTCACTGATATCAAAAAGCCTGGACTTTAATTTATCGTGGGGAATGGTTGTGTATAAAGTTGAAAAGTCGTAAGTTTTTACGCTGTTGATTTTGGTAAAATCTTGTGATTTCAAATTTTCCAAAAGTTCCTTGGAATTTTTAAGTATCCACATCTGATTTACACCACTTCTCGAATATATTGTTGCACAGTACTCTTGAAGTTTCTCCTTCACCACTGTTAATATCTTAGTGAGGAGTAAAGATAGAGGCTTGGTTGAACAATTACTGGAACCCGCTATGTATCTTTGTTTGTAAGGATTTTTATGAAGTTTCGGAATCCAATATAAATATGGTAATTCGAATTCATTTTGGTTGTTTGGAATATTAAAAATATTCAAAACTGACATATGATTTTGAAGAATTTCTTCCTTAGAAAGGGAACTATGAGTATAAGTTGGATTACCACTTGTAGAATTAAATCCAAGTTCTTCTAAAATACATTTAATATAATGAGCCTTACAAACAAAGACAATGTTGTTACTTGCTTTGTCAGCAGGGACCAGTACGTACTGATCATGTAATCTATCTAATTCTTTTTTCACTTCTGGATTATTGAATACAGAAGGATAGATGGTTTTCATATGGGTACAGTCCACTAATTGTTTTCCCATAGGCGGCAATGTTAACGTTTCTTCACATAGCAATGTCCCTAATTTTCGTTCAGCAGTGAGTGACCCCTCAAATCAAAGCAAATCAAGTTGTCTTTCCTTGGTTAAAATCTCGAGGTGGCATGTCAGATTCGTTTTCCGGCAAAATGCGTCTGTCTGCGTTAACCTCTGAAAATGAAAGTGAAAGTAGGGGAATTCCAGACTTCTCACTGGTGTTATAATACATAAAATAATTCTGCTGATCTTATTGATAAATTACATCTGCCAAGCTTTTTTGCAAGGGAACATACTCCTTATCATTAAGTATGAGACTCAGTTTAATACATTATCACAGTTTTTTTTATTCAGGTCTGCAAATTAAGGAACTTGTAATTTTTTCTGCACTACTTTCTTCCCCTACCGATTCTAAAAATAATTAGAGGTATGTACCCATATTGCCTCTCAATCTTTTAATGCGCAATTTTAACATACATCTGATACATTTAATCCATTCTGACAAAGTGTCAAGGTCTTCTTTTTCATGTCTGGCCCATCACCTGGCGTAGTCCTCTACAGAATCCATAATATTTATGAAATTCTTACGCCAGTTGAAGGATCTGGGTTCCCTAAATTTAGGACCTTTTAAAATTAGTGATCTAAGATCCTCATTATTAACTATATTTACGTCACCAGTAATAACGTGTCCAGCAGGACTATAGTTATAGGGTGAAGAAGAACATGAACACGATGGAGGATTATGTTTCAGATATTCGATATCCAGGCCCTGTAAAGTTTTCTTGTAATTAAAAAGTTTGTATCAGCGATGTTTAAATAATATATTATATATATATCGACAGAATATCGCTATCAAACCTTTGTTGAAATTTTGATAAGCAGGTATATTAAAATATTTATTAAATATATTTTTATATGTATTTTTAAATAAATATTATACTCAATTTGATAAATGTATGTTTTAATAACGTAAAGTAAAATTGTAATATCTTCTTCATGAAAAAAAATATTCATACAAGTATTCTTTCCTTAATAGAGACATAATTTTATTGATTTTTTAACGCTGATAATTTTTCCAGAATTTTCCATTGGGGGAGATAACTCGCATTTGTTTACAATACTATCCTCGCTCAGAAATCTAGACTTTGCACCATGACGGGGAATTAATCTAACCGCGGGGATGAGCGGTGTTACTTGATTTACCTGGCCAAACCACGATGAGATCAACACCGCCGCGACGTGCGGTAAATGACCAAACCGCGTTGCCCGTACTGTATTTTGAAAAGTAGGTCAAACATTGCCCTAGGAACCGAGGGGGGCATGTGATACAAAAGTTTTGATCAAAGTATAAAAAAATATCATTGTCTGAATGAAAACTATTTTGATATCCTAAGAATTAAATACTATGCATTTTCCTTACAGGGAATTAATCTGAGTGGTGGACAAAAGCAAAGAGTGAGTTTGGCTCGAGCAGTTTACCAGAACAATGAAATATACTTGTTGGACGACCCACTTAGTGCTGTTGATGCCCATGTGGGCAAACACATCTTTGAAAATGTCATTGGACCCAACAGCTGCCTTAAAAATAAGGTACAGTATATGTTCATAATGAATGTAACAATTTACATATTTTAAGATCAACTGAGTCACTCAAGTGACCCATTGCTTAGAAGCTATAACTATTGTTTGTTTTGTTTTGGTTTATTTTTGTTCTGCATTGTTCAACAAAGGTTGTACTTAAGATTTTGAATTTTCAGCTTTTCCTCAAAAACATAACTATTGTTTGTTTGTTTTTGCTTTTTTTTTTGTTCTGCATTGTTCAACAAAGGTTGTACTTAAGATTTTGAATTTTCAGCTTTTCCTCATAAACTGCTGAACCAATTTTATCTGTGGGTTAAGGGGAACATTTATTTTGAATTTCACCCATTTTTTTTTGCATTTTTTGAGAAATCTTTGTTAATTCAGGGATAATATATGTTAAGCCCATGCTCTGTAAATGTAAACATTCTATAGACCTTATTTTTCTGGTTAGATATGCAAACTTTAGATACATAAATGATTTAGGATTCATTTTTTTTTTAATATACATGTATAATGAATGAATTTTGGCAAAATTCACACGTAAATATTATTGGCCAAGTTGTCTATTTGCTTGGCCAATCCTGACCCTGGGGTAGGGCGGGGCCACAATAAGTTTTACATTGAAATATGTAGTGAAAAGCTTTAAAAATCTTCTTCTCAAGAACCACTGGGCCAGAAAGACTGAAACTTAAGTGGAAGTATCCTAGGGTAATGTACCCCCAGGGGTAGGGCTTGGCCACAGTGAATGAGTACTACAGCTGGGGAAATTAGGTGAAAAACAGCAAGGCCAAAGTTACTCAGGTGAGTGTTGTGGCCCATGGGCCTCTTGTTTAAAAAATGGGTCAAACTCCAAGGTCAAGGTCAAAGGGTCAAAATTAATGGTACCCAGGTGAAAGTCTTGTCACCAGAAATACACATATGAAATATAAAAGCTGTAGCACCAACTGTTCAAAAGTTATAGCCAAGATTAAAGTTTTTCAAAAGTAGGTCGAAATCCAAGGTCAAGGTCAAAATTTTCAATTCCAAAGGTAGGTCTTGTCACAAGAAATACACCTGTAAACTATGAAACCCCTAGTATTAATAAAAGTTATGACCATGGTTAAAGTTTTTTTAAAAATGGGTCAAACTTTAAGGTCAGGGTCAATAAGTCAAAAATCTTTATACCCAAGGAAAGGTCTTGTCACAGTGAATGCACATGTGAAGTCATATTAGGACAGAAGCATCCTTAGATAGTGTAGATTCAAGTTTGATCAAAGCGTGACCCCTGAAATTAGGGTGGGACCACATCAGGGGATCAAAGTTATACATAGGAATATATAGAAAATATCTGTAAAAATCTTCTTCTCAAGAAGAGCAAAGCCATGATATTAGTACAGAAGCATCCTTAGGTAATGCAGATTCAAGTTATTACAATTATGACCCCTGAGGTTGGTTGGGGCTACAACATGGGGATCAAAGTTATACATAGGAATATATAGGAAATATCTTTAAAATTCTTTTAAGAATAGCAAAGCCATGATGCCATTGATCGCCATATTGATATGGAAGCATCCTCAGGTACTGAAGATTCAAATTTGTTCAAATCATGACCCCCAGGGGTAGGGTTGGGCCGTTTTACATAGAAATATATAGGGAAAAATTATAAAAAATCTTCTGAAGCCATGATTAGTCCAAGAAATGTGGAAGTATCCTCAATTAGTGTAAATTCAAGGTTGTTCAAATCATGACCCTATGGAGGGGCTGAAGAGGACTTGGGGTGAGTTAACCATGCATTGGACACATACAGTACCGACCAGACACAACCTAACAGAAAGCGAACCCAGAGCGCACCCCGGGTTCGCTCTCTGGGTTCGCTTCGGGTTTGCTTGGGTCCGCTAGTGCTGACCCCAAGCGCACCCGTAGCGAACCCGCAGCGAACCCAGAGCGGACCCAGAGTGAACGCTGAAAGCGAACCCCAAATTCAGTAGCAGTCCCAGAAAGCGAACGCGCGTTCGGTGTTGCGTAACAGAGCTGTCAATCAGGATTAGCGATTAACTCATCAGTGCGTCAACCAATCAACATGCCGAACAGGTCTGTCAATCAGGATAAGTGATAAAATGTGTTGACCATCAGCGCATTGACCAGTCAACATGCCAGTTTGTAATCTAAACATTGTACAAGCAAAGCGGGTGAATGTACAATGTAAAAATATTATTAATATGATTTTTAAACATGATTTTACATTTATATATTTTAATTCTCCAGACATCATCCAATATTTACACATCTATTTTCATTACTTTTTATTTCTAAAATCTATTAATACATTATATATTTTTATTATCCAGGTAGCATGTTACATGTATAGTTACATATTTATTTTCTTTATATTTTTAAAATCCATTAATATATAAATATACATTGTGTAAATTTATCAGACAATAAGTACTTTAATTCATGATAGAGAAAAAAAAAAATAATGGTCATAACAATTGTCACTAAAAAAAATGGTCTCCGATAAATTATAGAAATTTATTATCTCAAGATACAGTATAAGAACATGTACGTGCTTTAATTTAATTATTTTTAAATATTTATTATTTCAATTTACATGCACGTTTTAATTTATCCTGATCACCATCGAAATTATCAATCTTTATAATTGATCATGAAAAAATTAAATGTACATTGTACAGTATAAATGTGCATTATGTCAATACGTAAATTGGAGAAAAAAATCTCATTTTTAACTACTATGATATTTTTTTAATTAACCCTTTGTGTGCTGACTTGTTTTAAGTGAATGGTAGCCTCAGTACTGAGTTGTTTTGGAATATTGACAAAATTGTCACATTGGCTTACTTGAATGCAAATATCTTAAAATTTTGACAACAATTTGCATGAAATTTGGCAGATATGAAGCAAATATTGTGTTTTTTGAATTGATAAAGTTTTTTCCTAAAAATTCTTATATTTGACGTTGCCATGGTAACAAAATTTTCATAAATATACAAAGACAATGATTCTTGAGTTTTTTTTTTAACTTATAATGTTCAGAAAAATATGTTGTCGATAAAAAAATAAATCATTTGCTTCAAAAACTGAATTTTAAATTTAATATTATATATATATATAAAAATTAGTCAATAATTCAGTGTCTTAAATATGTTGTGGAAAGTCATATTGTACACTTATCTGAATAAGGAATATGTTTAAGTGAATACTGAATTACACATAATACAACGTTTTCAGTTTATATCCAAAAAGGACATATTTATAAAATTCCAGTTAGCCTGTAAATCCAAATCCAGTGATCTTTTTAGCAGTATTGGCAAACATATAAGAAAACTTGATCCCCAGTTAAGGAATATGCAGTCTTCGGGTCAGGAAATCTTGGTTGAAATTTGGTACAACGATAACAAAATTGTATCTTAGGCTAGCCCCAATTATACTCTATTATTCTTATACCTGTAAAAATCTTTCTTTATGTGCTTTTATAGAGGAGGATGCATTTGTCCAATATTCATCAACCCCCCCCCCCCCCCACTTTATAGTCTTGTTTCCTGCTACCCGACCTACCCTATTTTTTTGTACCCAACCCTAGAGTTTTTTTTTTAATTTTGGAAGAAAAAAATCGAGAATTTTCGGAATTTCATCGTTCCGTCACTGTAATCAGTTTCCGTGTTAACACAAAACAAGCATTTCATGAAATTCTTGTTTTAAATATGGACTTTCATAAAATACCACTTGAGTTGTGCATAAAAAGACATGAAATTTAATTTTGATAGACAATATTGACCTGTGACATGTTTAATTTATCTTGTATTAGTTCATATCCAAAAAATGTCGGAAAAAAATAAAATAGAAATATAAAATAAAATAATTTTCCTACCTACCTATCCTATTTTTTTCAGGCTGGTAGCAGGAAACAAGACTATAGGTTGGGTAGCAGGAAACAAGACTATTATTCTTTTTGGCCTATAATACTCCCTACTCTTTAAGAAATGGGCATTTATTTTGGAAGTTTTATTCCTAGCTGGCAACAATGATTGCTAACATAAATTTCTAACACATCAACTAGAATTTATGTTGAAGATATTTAAGCACCTTTAACAGTCATATACAATATCTTTAACTTTATAAATATGCCGAAATTACTTTGTTGTGATCACTGATGAATATCAGTTTTGATACATTTCAATGTTTTCAGTGCATTAATGCACAATCGATAAATAATGTTTTATCACAAATATAAGCAAGAATTTAATGTGCTCCTATTTTTTATTTTGACCTGTCGTTGAAGAGCCATCTCCTTTTGTCTTGATTCAATAAAAAATAAATTTTAAAATATATATCTATTTGTTTAAACAAAATTCTATCTATTTGTTTAAACAAATTTCCATTAAAAATATTATTCCTAATGATGAAATACATTTTTTCACCAGGGCATTTGTTTGTAATCTTATTAACTATTTAATTTTTTTATTATTCTTAATAGCATCTTTCCATGTCAAGCCATACATTACCAAAGTGGCATCCCCTTTTCTTTAAAATAGACTTTTTCCACAAATAAAGCACAGGAATTTTAATTCCAAGACTGTTTGCCTTTTCCCCCCTTTTTATATTTTTATATTTTTTTTCCCAAAAACATTGTGGCCCCCCCCCCCCCCCAAAAAAACTGCATAAGAACTAAGTGTTTATGTAATATTAACACTTGTAGGAATAGGAAGGAGATCATACATACAAAGTCTTTAAATGGGGAGTTTGTGAATAGTTTGGTTGCATGTACATCATTAAAACACTATGAAGCCTGGGTGAAAGATGGATTTGTATTTCTCAAACTCAATGTTTATTTTCACCTATCAATACATCATATGACCTGTAGTTTACAAGTATATAGGGCCCAAGGACCCTCAGGAATTACATTCCATCCCTCATTGACACAGTACTTCATTTTCTAAGGATCTGACTCCCTTGTCATTCATTCATGCATGTATCGATCATTTGTACAACATCCCTGTTTTAAGATA